CCCCCCCCCCCCCTCAGTTAGGACCATATAAATGAGGGGAATTATTTCAGTGTAATCTGACGGCCTCTTTTGTATTGTATATTAGAGTAGGGAAACGGTTGTCGTCTCTTGTGTGTATATAATATCCTACGGAATGTTATTTTTTTATATTTCCTGGTAGCGGATCTGGTTGATGAGCACAAAGCGCCGTGATGCAGGGCTAGGACTGACCTCTGCGTCATAGGCCAGGAACAAATGCTTCTTTTTAATAGATCACACGGGGGGGGGGGATTTGCGTTTGTACAGATTTTTAATCGCCTGACAGAAAGCACAAAAATAATTTAGAGTTAGCACAGAATGCATCTCTCACCCTGCCAAGATTGTCATCTGCTGTCGTAGAATATTGGAACAAAGGCCCTGAGGGTCACAGATACGTCGTCGGGCCCAATCAATATGGGTGTTCGCGTCCTTAGAATGATGTAAGCTCAGTCTTATTTTTGTTTCCTAATTAGCTATTTCGCCTTTTCTCCCAGCATTGGTCTGATAAAAATACAGCTGGCTCTGTTGTCTCAGATGCCACGCTCCACTTCCAATAGCATGAAGCACGGGGGAACGGAGAGTTGCTAGCATCACCACGGCTTCCTAAATCACCCGCGGCTACCCAACAGGTAGGTGGCCAATCACGTCACAAATATAGGAGTACGCTAGATAATTGGTTTGCATTTCAAAAAAGCGAAGTTTATTTTCGGGGGGAGCGGAACTTCAGGCAAACGACTTAATCAATTAGGAATGCAAATTGTTATTAGAGTCCTGTTCTGGGCTCTGCTGCACATAACGGTTCTGTCAACCAGGGCAGGAGACTAGATTTCTCTCTGCTGCAGTTGAAGCCCAACTCCAGGGAGATTCAATATTTTTCCTTGCGGTAGGGCTGCCCCAGCACTGCAAGGGTTAACTTCACTTTTATGCCTATTGTACAGGAAAAAGCTATTCTAGATACCTGATGCCCATTGGCTCCCTCCAGGCTGCTGGACCGGTCCCTGCAGCCTCTTCTCCCCTGTGCTCTGGTGGTCCAAGGACCACTTATGTTATCATGTATGGGACCGATGGCTCCCTCTGGGATTCTACACTGGTCCCTGCAGCCTCTTCCCCCCCTTCGCTCTGGTTCTTGACCTGACCAATGCAGGTTCTATTGCCCTGCACTGTATGTGAGGATGCCAAGGGACAGTGCAGAGCTGGAGTGAAAGGGGAGACGAGCAACTGCCAGCGGGGATCAGGTGAATACAACAGCTTTTCCCTATTCCCTAAGCATAAATGAGCAGTTAACACTTGTAGTGCAGAGTCGGCCCCGCTGCAAGCCAACACTTTTAATTTCCCTTAAGTTGGGTGTCATAACAATTACAGTGTAAGTTCCTCCCTCGGACTGTGACTGGAAAGTGAAGGAGTAGCATTAGAACCAGAAGTTAGTTTCTCTGTCACTCTGCTCTCTGCTCCTTTCATCGTGTCCCTTGCTAGCACATGAGCACTATAACAAAACTGATTGTCTCCTTGTGCTGCTTCTTCCCTTCCTAGTCTGAGCTCTGCCGTACAGACGATTGCAGGGGGAAGATACTGAATCACATTCAGGTGCTTGTATTTAACAAATACATTTAATGAAGCAATAATGAATACAGAGATGCAGCACTGTGCGTCCTTTCTCTGCCTGGAGTTCAGCTTTAAAGGGAGCCTGTCACTGCCAGAGCTTCCATTCAGCATGGAGGCGTTTTCGTGGTCCGTCTGCTGGAAGCGGCGGTGGAAAACACGTCTACAACATCACAATGGTGTGGCTGTCCCAACAGCTCGCATTGCTTTCACAAGTTGGGCACCAGCAGCCTTTCGCTTTGGTTGGGAATCTTCTCCGCGCCCTTTGTTGTCTTTCTCTTTCATTTTGGCCTCAATGTTGACTTCAAGCACAAATATTATGTCAATAAGCACAACGAATGTCAAGTCACAAACTCTTTTAGTTCTGGTTTTCCTTCAGTTATATATTCCACCCGCACATATGTACGATTTAGGGCCCGTTCACACCAGACGCAGTGCGCTCTGGCCCCATTCTGTCCGGGACGCACTGCATCGCATTGCGACCGGCTCGCTATGTTGTGGGGAAGAAGGGGGGGGGGGGTGGCTGTCCATTGAAGTGAATGGCACGGTAGCCACGCCCTCCAGGCCGCAATGCGATCAGCCGCACGGGATCGCAAGGCACATCAATGCCTGCGGTCCGGTCTGGTCCAAAAAAACGGCCTGTAAAGCCTCCTGGCTCCACCTTTGCACTAAGTATGTGAGGACAGTAATCTAAAAGGGGCACTCTGTAGGGGACAACCAATATAAGGGGTCACTCTGATGAGGAAAACTAATTATTAGTTGCCACCCCCATTGGGGTGCCCCCTTACATTAGTTGCCCCCATCAGAGTGCCCCTTACATTGGCTGTCCCCCATCAGAGTGCCCCTTACATTGGCTGTCCCCCATCAGAGTGCCCCTTACATTGGCTGTCCCCCATCAGAGTGCACCTTACATTGGCTGTCCCCCATCAGAGTGCCCCTTACATTGGCTGTCCCCCATCAGAGTGCCTCCATACTTTCGTTAGATGGCCAGTTATCTCCCCACCAGTTGTTGTTGTTGAGGAGATATCGGTCCATCTATGAGCAGTCATAAGTGGCATACAATTCACAAAGTTGCCAACTTGAGAACCTCTTATTTAGTACTCGTTCTGTGAATGGGCCCCGAGATGTGTATCAATTGCTTCATTTGCAAGGCATTGATTGTCAGCAAGAAATTCCATCTTTTGCCAGCAAGCCATTAAGAAACCTTTTTCTGCAGGAAACATGGAGGCCACTGTGGCCTTCTCATCCCACAAATTCTAGTTGCTTGGCTGTCACGTTGCCCAGCAACTAACATTTTCAAGAGGTCGGCATCGGCCACCCCCATATTTCTCTTAAAAGCTTCCTTCCTTTATTTCCACAGACGGAATAAAGACAACGTTGTCCTGATACAGACTCTTCAGTCTTCTACTTGCCGTCATCAATGTTTCCGAGCTGGTTTTAGCTCTAATAAAACACTTCCTCCCCCCAGCCAAGACAGAAATAGACCCA